TTACCATTTATGTTCATTCCTTCTAAAATGTTCTTTCTTCCTGCTTTTTGGGGATTATTCAAAAACTTTTAGCATTGTATTTTAGTTTATCTATTGGATTTTTATCTATACCTCTGTGTTATTTTTCTAGCGGTTGCTTTGGGGCTTACAATACACATTCTTAATTATAATAATTTTCTTTAATATTGTACCACTTCATATAAAATATAGAAACCTTCCCATATCAGAGGTTCATTTTTTGTTACAGTTGTGTGTATTCCATCTTCACAGAGTCAAAACCTCACAGTTCAATGTTATAATTTTTTTCTTTATACAGACAGATATATTTTAAATAAATTAAGAGGAATATTTAAAAAAATTATTCTACTATTTACCATTTCTGATGTTTTTATTCTTTCCTGATGATCAAATTTCCATCTGGGATTATTTTCCTTCAGCCTAAAAAATTTCTTCAGCAGTTCTTATAATATTCGGTGGTGATGAATTCTCTTAATTTTTTTTATATGAAGATGTCCTTATTTATCCTCATTCTTGAAAGATAGTTTGACAGTCTGCAATACTTTTTTTTTTTTTTTTTTTTTTGAGACAGAGTCTTGCTCTGTAGCCCAGGCTGTAGTACAGTGGCGCAATCTTGGCTCACCGCACCCTCCACCTCCGGGGTCCCGGTTCAAGCAATTCTCCTGCCTCAGCCTCCCGAGTACCTGGGATTACAGGTGTGTGCCATCACACCCAGCTAATTTTTGTATTTTTAGTAGAGATAGGGTTTCACCATGTTGGCCAGGCTGGTCTTGAACTCCTGACCTATGATCCACCCATCTTGGTCTCCCAAAGTGTTGGGATTACAGGCGTGAGCCACTGTCTGGCCACTTCAATACTTTAAAGATGTCCTTCCACTCTCTTCTGGTTTCCATAGTTTTGGATGAGAAGTCATCGATTTTAATTTCATTGTTCCCCTGCCTGAAATGGTTTTGTTTTTGCTTTTGTTTTTCTAGACAGAGTTTCACTCTGCTGCTCAAGCTGGAATGCAGCGGCATAATCTTAGATCACTGCAACCTCTGTCTCCCAGGTTCGATTGATTCTCCTGCCTCTCAGCCTCCCAAGCAGCTGGGACTACAGGTGCGCACCACCATGCCCAGCTAATTTTTGTAGTTTTGTAGAGATGGGGTTTTGCCATGTTGGCCAGGCTGGTCTTGAACTCCTGGTCTCAGGTGACCCGCCTACCTTGGCCTCCCAAAATGCTGGGATTGCAGGCATGAGTCCCACGCTTGACCTTGACATGTGTTTTTCCACAGTTGCTTTAGGAATTTTCTTTTTAGTTTTTCTTTCCAGCAACTTGACAATCATGTTCCTACACATGGTTTTGTTTGAGTTTATCCCAGTTGGGATAATGGAACTTCTTAAATATGTAAATTTGTCTCTTATTAATATGGAAATTCCAGGCAGTATTTCTTCAAATATTTTTTCCTGCCTCATTTCTTCTATCTTTTTGTAATTTCAACTACAACCTCCGCCTTCTGGGTTCAAGAGATTCTCCTGCCTCAGCCTCCCTAGTAGATGGGATTACAGGTGTGCACCACCATGCCTGGCTAATATTTTTGTATTTTTAGTAGAGAGGGGTTTCACCATGTTGGTCAGGCTAGTCTCGAACTCCTGACCTCATGATCTGCCTGCCTCGGCCTCCCAAAGTGCTGGGATCACAGGTGTGAGCCACTGCACCCGGCCTTATGGGCTTTTTGATATTGTTTCACAGGTCCCGAGGCTCTTCTTGTTCTCCCCCCACCCTTTCTTTCTCAGATTGGATCAATTCTGTTGGTATGTCTTCAAGTTAACAGAGTTAATTGTCATTTCCACTCTTTTGTTAGGCTTATTCAGTTAACTTTATATTTAAGATATTCTAATTTTCAGTTCTAATATTTCCTTTTAAAAAGTATAGTTTCTGGCCAGGCATGGTGGCTCACTCCTGTAACTCCAGCACTTTGGGAGGCTGAGGCAAGAGGATTGCTTGAGGCCAGGAGTTCAAGGCCAGCCTGGGCAACATGGCAAATCCTCAACTCTACAAAAAATACAAAAAAGTTAGCTGGGCATGCTGGCATGAGCCTGTAGTCCCAGTTACTAGGGAGGATGAGTGGGGAGAATCACCCTAGCTGGGAGGTCAAGGCTGCAGTCAGCCATGATTGTGCCAGTGCACTCCAGCCTGGGCAGCAAAGTAAGACTCTGCCTCAAAAAAAAAAAGTTTCTAATTATCCGTTGCGATTTAAAAATCTTGTTAACAGTGTATTTTCAGCTGGGTACAGTGGCTTGTACCAATAATCCCAGCACTTTGAGAGGCAGAGATGGGTGATCACTTGAGCTCAGGAGTTCAAGACCAGTCTGGGCAACATGGTAAAACTCCATCTATACCAAAAAAATACAAAAAATGAGCTGGGCAT